CACTGCCTTCTGTGTAATCTCCAAGCCTCCTGGCATCCAGGGACAGGAAGATGTGAAGGACTATAACAAACACTAGAAACAACTCAGCCTGGATATGTCACCTGAAGTTGTAAGGGCTCCTGTTCTAGTCATATAGAGCCCAGGTTATGAGCTCTGGATTTATGAAGACGTACGTAAGTGATCTGTAAGGATATCCTCACAGGTCAGGAAATATTGCTAGGGCTAGGAAAGTGCGCTGCCACCCAGTAAAAGCCAACAATGGACCACTTCATCCTAAAAGAATAACTGGAGCTGCCTAGACAAACCAGCAAGGAAAAGCAGATCACAGCTCTGCAGACATGGGGAACAGGCACTGACACATCACTGGCATCACTCCAGAAATGCTGCATCCTCCAGGGAGAGCCACAGCAAATAGCTCACAGACTATAATCACCCTGGGATTCCACTTTTGAGAAATAATAACTCCAGGAAATCATCTCAATACAGAAGCAGGGTGCAGTTTGTATAAAAATACTCTCAGGGCTCAAAAATCATAAACAAACACACTGCAGAAGTTTTAAAGTCTGAACTTCCAGGTCTTTTTTTTCTGAAAATATTCTAGAGCTCCCTAGCCAATGTTAAATGGCTTGTGTGCATGATGTCAGAACATGAAGATGTGTGTGTGGAATGGCATTCACCTCTCTGGCAGCTACAACCACCTTTCCGATGCAGCGGAGTCTGAGAGTCTAAGAGCCCCCACAGCAGAGCACATCCGCCCGCCTGCAGCTACCCACACAGTGCAGAGGGCAGCCAGCATGTCAGTTCCCCTCAGGGAGGAAGAAACCAGGACAATGCACAAGCTGAGTGCCTGGCTTCTGGGACCGAATGAGGAATCAGGAAAATTAGCTTCTGCTGTTGCCACAGCTGATTTTACATCTCCGTAACCAGGCAAGGAGCTTGCCTGAGTCAAGAAGTCTCATTTAACATTCTGAAGTGTGGGAGGGAGGGAGGCAAGAGCTGTCACACGGTTTTAGCTGCCACCCCTGCCTGCCCTGGCTGTCTGGTATAGGATCCAGTGTAAAAGGGAGGAGAAGCAGGACACATGAAAGGTGTTGAGAGGCAAATGGCATGCCTGCACTCCCCTGCTTGGAAGTGAGAAGATCAGAAGCTCTTACTGCAGATTCCAAGGTCCAAGAACAGCTCCGAACGCCACTGCTCGTCATAGGCACTGCAAGGATCCTGTTATGAGTGTTCCAGGGCTGCTATGACAAAAACCAGACTGGGAGGGGGGCTCAAAACCACACCCATCTATTCTCTTGTAGTTCTGGAGATCAGATGTCCAAAACCAAGGAGCTGGCAGAGCTGTTCTCCCCTGCAGGCTTGAAGGGAGGATCCTTCAGGCCTCTTTAGCTTCTGGTGGCTGCTGACATTCCTCGGTCTGTGCCCACATCATTCTAGTCTTTGCCTGGTCTTCCTGTATGTCTATGTCTCCTCTTCTTGTCTCTTACAAGGACCTCTTTCATGGAACTTAGAGCCCACCCAGAAAATCCAGGATGATCTCATGTTGAGATTCTTTTTTGTTTTCTTTTGTTTTTGTGTTTTTTTGAAGCAGGGTCTCCCTGTAGCCCCAGCTGTCCTGGAACTCACTATGTAGACCAGGCTGTCCTTGAACTCACAGAAATCTGCCTGCCTCTGTCTCCCAAGTGCTGGGACTACAGCCATGCACCACCACACCTGGCTTCATGTTGAGATTCTTAATCACACCAGCAAAGTCTTTTTCTTCAAAAGAGGTCATATCCACAGGCTGTCTTCCTGGGTCCATAGAGCAGTGCTTTCGGTTTATTCTCTCTGACCATCCTTTTTGCCTGCACAGGGCTGGGCACTTAACAAGCAACAATAAAATAGGAATATGGAGATCATGACCCTGATGTTCAGCTAATCTCAAGGACCATACAGAAATCAAGCATGGTTATAATGATTACCCACAGCTATACCACCCACCCTAATAGTTAGGTGAATCTTTCTTCATTCATAAACTTAGGAGCTAAGTCCAATTCCACTTTGGGCAAACTATTAGCCCTCTCAAAGCCTCGAGGTCCTGACTTGTAAGACAAGTATGCAAAGAATCAAACAGTATAATGTACCCCAGAAAGTGCCTGCCTCAGCACATATATTCAATAAATGCTGGTTCTTAGTATAAGACGTTAATGCTTTCATCACCAGCCACATCTTCTCCCACTTGTTTTTTAATCATTTTTTTATTACATTCATATAGCCACCTGTGTAGATACATGTGTGCCACCCACACATGTAGATGGATGTTGGAAGACAACACGTGGGAATTCTCTCCTTCTATCATGTGGGTTCTAGGGTCAAACTCTGGTGTCAGGCTTGGTAGCAAGTACTTTCACCTGCTGAGCTACCTTGTGGGCCCAGTTTTGTTGTTTTATTTTTTTGAGGTAGGCTCTTGCTTTGCAGTTCGGGCCCCTCTCAAACTCATAGCCATTTTTCGACCTCAGCCTCAAGTGCTGGGATAAGAGGTGTGAGCCATTGCACCTGGCTTTTCCTATTCCACTTGTATGAACACACAGAAAAAGTAACATAGCTCTGGAATATTTATGAAGTCAGAGTCAGCTTGCCAGTTTATCAACAAAAGCGCTTAAGAAATAATTTAGTAATAATCACATTTTGAGACAATATAAATTATCACTACACAGATTATAATCTCAATGAATTCTGAATAGAGTGTCTGTGTGTTCAAAGACCAGTCACAAAAGTTGGCCCTGATTGTCTCAGATGAGAATGATACTGGCTTCTGAGAGAAACAGACCACCTGAGGGAACTGTGCAGAATATCATAACTTGTTCCAAAATCTACAATGAAAGTTCAACTAGCCAAGGTAGAAGATAGGGCTGTCACAGACCTCTGTCCTTGGAGACAGCAGCCCTGGGATCAGAGAACCTTACCATGGTCCAGGTGACCAGAACAGCCAAGGCAGTGTCTAACAAGAGCAAGCCTCCTAGTCCATGTTACTCATGCTCCAGAACCTCTGTGACCATACAAAGCTCAACAGAGGTTGTGAGGACACCTGGAATGTCAAGTAGTATACCATGGAAAGGAAGCTACAACCTAGGGAAAGCTCAATGTAGCATTATTAGTACACAGGTTTTTACAGGGGGTGGCGGGGGGAGATTGAGCTGTCAGCTTCAAGGGGGCTGCATTAGAGTTCTCCAAAGAAACCGAATGAGTGGAGGGGATATATACAGAGGGTGTGTGTAGGGTGTGTGTGTGGGTGTGTGTGTGGGTGGTGTTCGTATGGTTGGCTCACATGATCACAGAGGAAGTTCTACAAGGACCATCTGCAAAGTGTAGAGCCAGGGATGTCAGAGCCCCAGTTGGAGATTGAAGGCCCAAGGGTCATTTGTACAAATCCTCAAGTCTAAAGGGCGAAGAACCTAGAGCCTGATATCCAAGGGCAAGAGCAGCAGCAAACAGCATGTCTGCTTAGGAAAGGAGAACCAGTGAGAGGCCAAGTTTCTTCCTTCTTTCACATCCTGTTCAAACTGGGCTCCAGTCTAGTAGATGATGCTGTATTGCCCACATTACCAATGACCCCAAAGTAGGTTCTTCCTCCCTGAGACCACTGATACACACACCAGTCTTCTCTGAAACACCCGGACAGATACCCATTGGTGTTTTACCAGTCTCAACCCAGTCAAGCTGATAAGATAGCCAAGGTCAACCTTCACAGAGGCCATGGCCACACCACAGACAACAGGGCTTTTCTTCTCTCTGGCTGCAGAATGCTGCCCTGGCAGGGGATGTACAACAGTGAGATACAGAACAACATCAGACAGCTATAGGGTTGGTAGAGCCCTGGGTCAGTTCTCCTGGATGCCACTACTGCTGGCCATCAGCAGAGGTAAACCTGGGTACTGGAAGAATCAGAACTCAGGACAATACAGGCCAAGTGCCACCTCTGAAAAATCCACATACACACATAGACCTTGGGAGGAAAGGGGCATGTCAGGGACCTGGAAGCACTACAGCACATGCTTAGGTAAATGACGACATCTCCACATGGGCCACAGTAAGGTCTATTTTTCAGATTTGGTAACAAGGTGTAGTAGCTAAGGCTGGTTCAAGTTCCCATAGGCACTCACAGAGTCCAGTTCATCCGATCCCCAGCTTGTGTTACCCTCTGACATGAGGTCAGCCAGGACAAAGCCACTGTGAACCTGAGAACTTTCCACTCATTACCAGCCAAGACACCCCCAAAGAAGCCCACCATCACTCAGCCGTCTTATAGAAACCGAACAAATATTTGTTTCTTTATTTTGTACTTTATACATATAAAGAATGAATGTATAAAACCCCGAGGGCTTTTTTTTTTAATCTGAAGACTTACTGTTTTTCTTTTCATCTTTATCCCTTTTACCTAACTTTTTCCTCTGTAGGAAGAAAGAGGAAATTAGTCCAAAATATGTTGTGCCCCATTTTCCACTTGGGTGTCAGCACACAGTTCCCACTAAACAGGTTCAGAGCTATCACAGTAGAGTGTATCGAGCTGCTGACAGATCTGACCAGGCATGCAGCCAAATTTATGGGAGTATTAATCAATAACAAGCAAGCTGTTCATTTGGATTCTCACCTTGGTGCCAACGTCTTGAAGTCTTCCTTGCATTTTGCCAGATGTGGTGAATAGATCGACTTGGTCAACTTACTAAACTCCAAACTAGCATCTAGAAAAATTCACCCTTCATGTTCATTTTCATGTATTTGTTTTTGCCTTAAATGAAGGAAAGTTAGGGCTCTCAGGAATGACCAGAACCCAGATGGATTAAGGCTGCAAACTGGAAAGCCCATGGAGGTACACTCTGAGTGAGTGCTAAATACTTAGGAAATTAAGCCTGCTGCAATACTGAAATTAATAACCTCACTGCTTATTGTAAAGACTTGCCCAAATGGGCATCAGAGCAGATTTAAACCCCACCTGGGGGTAAGCAAGTGACCACACTTACCAAAACACACTTGCCTGGCTCGAGGCTCCAGAGGGAACTCTCAGTGTTGATCTTGTGGGTGAGCTTTCCTTCCATGAGAACACGCTCTCCGTTTTCTTCCAGCATGGCCACACGAATGGAGCCACTACTGAGGGCTACGGAGACCTGAGAACACAACAGGAGAAAATCATCTTGAGGGTGGCAGCTATTGTGCTCTATTTGTGCAAACACTATGACACTTCACTCACCAGGCCTCTCTGTGAAGAAAGCCATTCCAGCCTAGACTACACGCCAAGCAACCTGCAAACTATCAGCTCTTCCGGTAATGTCAGGTTGTTGGGGTGGAAACTGCTAGTTTTCTACCCAAGTCCCTTTGACCTTCTGCAGGTATGGAGACCAGTTCTCAGGCTGGAAGGCAAGCAGGAGAGAGAAGGTGGATGCTTCCCTTCACCTCCTCTGTGACTACCCAGAGTCAGCTTGAGCTGCAGAGGAAACTTAGTGCTGATCTTGTGGGCAAGTTTCCTTTCTGCAAGGATATGCTCTCCATGTTCCTCCAGCGTGGCCACACAGAGGCACTGGCCGAGCCATCTCTCTGATCTCTTAAGGCCCTGAACCACAGCACCCAGGACAACTGAACTGCTTCCCAGAAGTGTCTGGTGAAAGATAACTGTGGCCTCTTTCTTCCCTGAGCTGCCTCACAGGCTGTAATCATAACCTAGGACAGTGAGACTAATTTCTTTAGTTCTGTATGAAGTCAAGCTGCAATGCACCTTTCTCTTCTGAGCCTGCTCTGGGTAGAAACTGGCTATGTGCCCACTTTGCTGTCCTGGGTGTACCTCTCCCTGCCCTACATATCTGCCTCCATACTGGTTTGAGAACTATTGGGAAAGGTTCTCCACTTCATGCCACATGGCCAGCCAGCAGATCTAACGTGTGTGCTGGTTAGTTTTTGTCAACATGACACAAACTAGAGTCATCTGGGAAGAAAGACTCTCAACAACAGGATTGCCCAGGTCAGACTGGCCTGTGGACCTCTTTGTGAGGTACTTTCTTAATTTGCTAGTTGATGTGGGAAGACCCAGCCCACAGCGGGTAGTGCCATCCTTCAGGCAGGTGGTTCTGCACTGTCTAAGAAAGGTATCTGAGAAATCCAGAGAATGTAAGCCAGTAAGCTGCATTCCTCCATAGTCTTTACTTCCTGTCTCCAGACTCCTGCCTTAGCTTCCTTCACAGATAGACTGTGATTAGGACACATAAGTCAAATATACCCTTTCCCCAACAACTTGCTTTGGGTTATGGGGTTTATCACTACAACAGAAAGTAAACTAAAACAGAAATTAGTACCAGAGAGTGAGATAATACTGTGAAGAACCTAGCCACATTGTTTCCTGGGAGGACTATAAGGATTTTGGAGCTTTGGGGTGGAAATGTTGTTAGCTCACAGCTTAATGGGCTCTTATGGGAACTTTTAAGATAAGAATGCTGAGAGAAATGGAGAGGATGGAGGCCTGGCTTGTGAGGTTTCAAGATAAGCAGACTATCAGGGCTGTTTGTGTGATGTTTTGGATTAAAATTCTGTGAAGTGCCAGGCGTGGTGGGGCATACCTTTAATCCCAGCAATCAGGAGGCAGAGGCAGACAGATCTCTGTAAGTTCAAGTCCAGCCTGGTCTACAGAGTGAGTACCAGGCCAGCTGGGGATACAGGGAGACCCTGTTTCAAAAAGACCCCTTCCAAAAAAATCTGTGGAAAATGACACCTTTGCTTTATTAAGACAATGGATGTTGGTTAGCTGGAGTTGAAAAGCCAGCTGTGATTAAGAAGCAACCAGCATTACTGAGGTGAAATCTCCTGGGAAGAATTTCTTTATGGTCAGCACATAGAAGCTGTGGTCTAGAGAAGACCAAGGCTGAATCTCAAGAAGCCAAACCTGGTAATGTATAAAAGTCTCCCCCACCCCCCAATACTAGTTTTGGTGGCATGAAAGCTACCAAGTAGTATGAAAGAACTGAAGGGGTCATAGAGAGAAGCTGAGGCTTGGTATCAGGACAGGCCAGGAGAGGCCATTGGTGAAGGTGCAGTGCTAGTTGCAGAGGGGACCCCAGTGTACTGGAGATGTCAAGACTGTGGGACAACTACCAAGGACAGCAGCAGGTATAGAGTACACAGCCAGCCAGAGCCTGTGAGACAAGATGTGTGTGCTTAGACAAAAATTATCAAAGGAGAAATGGAGAAAATGGGGACAATTTAAATGGGAAGGGCATGGAGGAACAATAAGACAGGGAGAGAAAGAGACATAAATAGTGCCTAGCTACTATAAAAAACTAGAGGGAATCATATTAGTCCAAAAACCTATTGAAAAATTATACATACAATATCCCTATCTACATGAGTCCATGAGTATATAGTTAAAGCCTACATAACAAGAAACAGTGCCAGACAGGATTGAACCCTTCCTTTGAGTTGCTGGCCAGGGTAGTCCAAGAGACTCCCCAAATTGCACAGGCCATTGCCACAGTCCTTTTTTACCTCCCAGAACTTGATGGTAAGACCCCATTCCTGAAGACAGGCCATATTTTGGACAGTGTTTGGAGCTAGAACTGACGTGGAAGCTCCCCACCCCCACAAGGCTAGCTCTCATAGCTTTGGAGAGTACTATGCAAGCTGCTGAAGGGAGAACATTAGTCAAACATCAATCAATGGTCCAGCCCCAGCTTCAAGGCCTAAAAACCACATCAATGATCAGCACAGCAAACAACATTGGTACACTTTTATCTTGGAGGTAATCAACAGCTACTTAATTGGACTTAAAGCCCACCAAGTGGGGGGATACTCATGTGTGGTACTGATACTATAAATCTAGCCAAATACAGATAGCTGGAGAGGTCAGAGATCTTAGAGAAAACCTAAGACTTTTTCATATCCCTAGACAAATGTAATTTCTTTACTATGTGCAAAATATGGTTCCTTAAATTTACAGGCAAGTATCTCAGTCACCACCCATCAAAGTAGCTTATTTTTCAACAGAGATTATTACAGAGTTACACTACTGGTCACACATGGAGATTCTCTGTGAATTGCCCAAACCTAAGTGGCATGTCTAGTATGCAACCTCTACACCTAAGACTCACAGAACATAGAACAAGGGATGAAGAGAATACTAACACAACTTTCAATCCTCATCAATGAAGCTCCTTCATGCAACAGAGGGCCAGGAACACAAAAGACCATAAATGGCCAAAAAGCAGAAAATAAGAGTCTGCAGAGTGTGGGTCTCCTATATTGAGGTCCATCCACCCAGGGCTGAGGGGCCATTGAGGAAGAGAGGGGCGGGAAGATTGTAAGAGCCAGGAAGGGAGGCAGTGCATGACCATACGGAAATAGTCCTACAGGTGCCTGGGACCCTTCTCATACAAACCTACAGCACTGGTGTCAGCATGCATAAGACTCATGCAAACTTAGACAAAAACCCAGCACAGAACTGTGGAAAAGGACAGCAAGCGCCAATCTTAGTTGAAGAATTATTGGCAGCTGATTCTTGCTGGGTGAGGAAGAGCTGATCTTCTTGAAGATCTCTAGACAGGCTGAATAAACCCTGGTGTTTGAACTTGCACTGAGGGACATCTTGGGACACTAACTTTACATAATGGGCCTTGATACAGATGATAGAATGTATGAACTCCAGTGGGGGGAGGGGGGCCTGTGGGAGGGTGCCAAAGGGGAAGGGGGTATAAAGATGATTTTATGGATGAAATACACAAAAATTCAATAAAAAATTAAAAGAGATGCATGTGTTGTGGTTGGCAGAGTGGAAATGGGACTGCCAAAGCTCTTTGGAGCCCAGAAGATAATGAATCCCAGTTGCTGGACATTGAACTATTTACAATGCTGGATTTTGGGTTTTGCTTTAATTGGATTGTAACTGTGTCCTGATTTGTCTCTCTTGGAATAAGAAAGTATATAACTTGGTTTTGATTTTACAAGAGCCTATATTTAAGAGATTTTGGATCTTTAAAGAGACTTTGGATTTTTTATTTTATTTTTTATTTTTTGGTCTTTTTGAGACAGGGTCTCTCTGTAGCCCCCAGCTGGCCTTGAACTCACTATGTAGACCAGGCTGGCCTTGAACTCACAGAGATCCACCTGCCTCTGCCTCCCCAATGCTGGTATTAAAGGCAGTTCAAGGCCAGCCTGGTCTACATAGTGAGTTCCAGGTTAGCTGAGGCTACAGGGAGACCCTGTCTCAAAACAAAAAAAAAATTGGACTGGGTTTTATGATGTGATATTAACATGAGATCTTGGGAATAAGAAATGAAAAGGGTCTGGTTTATGGTCATGTGTTTGTGTGCTAAGTTGGCAAGTGGTCAACTGTGCTGGTTAGTTTTGTCAACTTGACACAAATAAGGAGTCACCTGGGAACACAGAACTTCAGTTAAAGGATTCCCCAGATCAGAGTGGCCCGAGGCCATGTGTGTGAAGTACTTTCTTAATCTGCTAGTTGATGTGGGAGGACCCAACCCACTGTGGGTAGTGTCATCGTCTAGGCAGGTGGGCCTGGTCCTGAGTGTATAAGAAAGGTAGCTGAGTGAGTTCATAAGCAGAGTTGTCTCTCCTTCAGTTTCTGTCTTGGCTTCCCTCAATGATGAATTTTAAATTGTAACTTCTCCAAATTATTTTCAGCCATAGTGTTTACCACAGAAACAGAAAGCAAACTAAAATGGAGTACACAACTCCAGGAAGGTATAAAATCAATCACTGGAAGAATAAAGAAAACAGAATACCTGTTTATATTTGTTTCCCTTTGTTTTTTAAATTTTTAAAAATATATTTTATTTGTTAGTTTTAATTTGTGTGTATGAGTGTATTGCCTGCATGTATGTGAGTGCACCTGTGTCCATGCAATGCTGTGGAGGTCAGAAGAGGGCTTCAGATTTCCCTGGAACTGGAGTTAAGGACAGTTTGTAGCTGCCATGTGGGTGCTGGGAATCAAACCCGGTCCTCTGCAAGGGCAGTCAGTGTTCTTAACTGCTGAGCTATCTCTCCAGTCCCTTGTTTCCCTTTTTTTTTTAAAAAAAAAAATTACTTATTTTTAAGCCAGGTGTGGTGGCACACGCCTTTAATCCCAGCACTAGGGAGTCAGAGGCAGGAGTTCAAGGCCAGCCTGGTC